ATATATCTATATATATATATATACATATACACATACATATACATATACACACACATACATACATACAGACCCCCTTGTGTTAACTACTCATTAGACTTAGGGCAGGGGAAGGCAACCACAGCACTCCTGCTGTGGGTAAAAATACAAATCCCATCATGCCTTTGCCCCTGGAAGTCATGTCTGCGTCTGCCAGTCTTGCAATGCCTCATGGGATTTGTAGTTCCATTACAGCTAGAGTGACAAGGTTACCTAAGTCTAGGAGTAGACGAATACGTTGCAATACTTATTTTATCCTTTGCTTTCCTGGCAGCCAGCTCTCTCTTCTTCCCTCCAACCCTACAGGATGTGGATGGGCCCTTGCCGTCCTCACGTACAATGCAGGACTGAGGCTCCTCCGCTGCACATGATGACGTCAGAGTGTCAGAGAGGCTAAGAGCAGCTGACGTTCCGGTGGGAAAATTACATGACACACTGCTCGTGAAGGCAGCGCGCCACGGCTCCACGCTGCTTGGCGAGCAGTGTCACTGCCTTTAGTCATGCAGTGTGGAAGGGTCCTGCCAGTACAAGGAATGTGGTATTAAAGGAGAACTATGGGGTTAGGGCTTTTCCCCATAGATCACTCGTCTCATAGTTCTCCTTTAAAGATCATTCTTGTACCCCATAGACATAATGAGCATTTAACCCTTGCAGTGCATGGTGTTTCTCTCTGCTGGGGTATTATTTATGCTTCCCGGAAGTTGTGGCTTTAAAGGATCCGATTGGTTTCCATGCCACTGAAGTGATCTGGCTCCCAGACCTCGCTCGGATTCATGGTGCGGATAAATGTAAGAGGCAGCCGCCTGTGTACAGGAATGCGCCGAACGCCTTCCCGCAGCGAGCAGGCTAATTTGAATTACCGGGTAATTAGCTATAAACTTTAGGGAAAAATTAACAGAATAGCAGAGACAGTAATTGCAGCAACAAGGTGAGGGAAAGTGGTTATTACGCGGCTCGGGAGCAATTAGATGCAGCTCAGACATTTCCTGGCAAGCCCTGGGAGACCAGTCTGCTGGAGGTTTTTAATCCTCTGCCTCGGCAATAAACAAGGTAAATGCTTGCTTAATTTACTTCAATTAATGCCGGCACAAAGCAATTCATTACCCCGCTACTCCACACAAGGTGCGGGCCGTAGGGTATCATTTCCTCCGCTCGTTCCAGGAGGGGCGTGCAAGTAATACACAACCACCACCATATAAAAAAAACAATCCACCAACATGGGCGAAATGCAACTCGCACCTCGCACATGTGACAAGACTGCAAACACACAGCGCAGCACTGACTTTAATGGGTTTTAAATGTTAATGGCTACTGTGTATGCGGTTTGAGCGATGACCTGGTTCAGGCCACGCCGGGTTCAGTTAGGAAGCTCATTCAAAGCACACGGGCAGTAAGGCATGAAAATGAAGGGGCTGACATATCATGCATTCGCACAGCGTATAGGTGTGCCACTGACATTCATAGCACATTACTGCCACTAGATGGTGCCAAGGAGTATTTGGAATTTCTCTAGTGGCAGTAGATCTCTGGATGCCATTCGCACACTGTATAGCATGATAAATCAGCCCCTTGGTCAACACTGCATTGTTTTTGCAGCACAGTGCAGGTACGTTAGATCCGTGCAGTGATCCACTATGAAACCTTGACTTCCTGTAATAAAGACCGGTCACTGCCGCTCTCTCTCCTAGTGCAGGGTGACTGGTCGTCTCCGCCCCCTCCTGTAATAAAGAGCGCTTATTGCTGTGCTCTCTCCTTGTGCAGGGTGACTGGTCTTGTCTCCGCCCCTTCCTGTAATAAAGACCGGTCACTGCTGCTCTCTCTCCTTGTGCAGGGTGACTGGTCTTGTCTCCGCCCCCTCCTGTAATAAAGACCGCTTATTGCTGCGCTCTCTCCTTGTGCAGGGTGACTGGTCTTGTCTCCGCCCACTCCTGTAATAAAGACCGGTCACTGCTGCTCTCTCTCCTTGTGCAGGGTGACTGGTCTTGTCTCCGCCCCCTCCTGTAATAAAGACCGCTTATTGCTGTGCTCTCTCCTTGTGCAGGGTGACTGGTCTTGTCTCCGCCCCCTCCTGTAATAAAGACCGCTCACTGCTGCTCTCTCTCCTTGTGCAGGGTGACTGGTCTTGTCTCCACCCCCTCCTGTAATAAAGACCGGTCACTGCTAATCTCTCTCCTTGTGCAGGGTGACTGGTCTTGTCTCCAGCCCCTCCTGTAATAAAGACCGGTCACTGCTGCTCTCTCTCCTTGGTGCAGGGTGACTGGTCTTGTCTCCGCCCCTTCCTGTAATAAAGACCACTCATTGCTGCGCTCTCTCCTTGTGCAGGGTGACTGGTCATGTTTGTCCCCTCCTGTAATAAAGACCGGTCACTGCTAATCTCTCTCCTTGTGCATGGTGACTGGTCTTGTCTCCGCCCCCCTCCTGTAATAAGGACCGCTCACTGCTGCTCTCTCTCTCTCTCTCTCTCCTTGTGCAGTGTGACTGGTCATCATGTTGAGAAGAAGGGAGGTCTCATAATGGGCACAGCAGGTATGCAGACCTGATTTGCATAACTGGTAGGTCCTCTAGAAAACGCTGATGGACACCACTATCTTGCCAGAAGGCAACAAGTTCCAGTAGACACAGAGCAGGAATCCCGCACAAGCACATTGTTACTTGAGAAGGTGTACAAACTCAGCACATACAGCGGCTCTGACTGAAGAGGATTTCAGTCATGTGACCCCTAATGGTCACACGACCAAATATCAGTAAACAAAGCCAGATGAGCTTCAGGTATGGAGAGTTCTGTGGGCACCCCTCGCGGGGCTCTACTAGGAAATGCACAGAATTGCATAAGGAAATTAGTGCATTCAATGAGTGTCAAGGTTGGTGGGATTGCAGCAGATTAGAAGTGTGCCAGTCATAGCCTTGTAACTCTGCCCACATCAGGCCTGACAGACCAGGAGTCACCTGGCCTGTCAATCATTGTATTATGTCATGGTGGGCAGGACAAATCAGGAGTCACCTGGCCTGTCAATCATGGTATTATGTCATGGTGGGCAGGGCAGATCAGGAGTCTCCTGGCCTGTCATCATGGTATTAGGTCATGGTGGGCAGGACAAATCAGGAGTCTCTTGGCCCGTCATCATGGTATTATGTCATGGTGTGCATGACAGACCAGGAGCGTCCTGGCCTGTCAATCATGGTATTATGTCATGGTGGGCAGGACAGATCAGGAGTCACCTGGACTGTCAATCATGGTGTTATGTCATGGTGGGCAGGACAGATCAGGAGTCTCTTGGCCTGTCATCATGGTGTTATGTCATGGTGGGCAGGACAGATCAGGAGTCACCTGGCCTGTCATTCATGGTGTTATATCATGGTGGGCAGGACAGATCATGAGTCACCTGGCCTGTCAATCATGGTGTTATGTCATGGTAGGCAGGACAGATCATGAGTCACCTGGCCTGTCATCATGGTGTTATGTCATGGTGGGCAGGACAGATCAGGAGTCTCCTGGCCTGTCAATCATGGTGTTATGTCATGGTAGGCAGGACAGATCAGGAGTCTCCTGGCCTGTCAATCATGGTGTTATGTCATGGTGGGCAGGACAGATCAGGAGTCTCCTGGCCTGTCATCATGGTGTTATGTCATGGTGGGCAGGACAGACCAGGAGCGTCCTGGCCTTCCATCATGGTATTAGGTCATGGTGGGCAGGACAGTTCTGGAGTCTCCTGGCCTGTCGATCGTGATGTTATGTCATGGTGAGCACCAGCTGGTGACCAGCCTGACCCCCGGATCCTACTGAAAATACAGGAAAATGCTAAATGTGGGTCAATTTGCACATCTACACAAAACCTATATAATGGGTACTGGTGCCAGGGAAAGACTTTTATAGAGAAATATATATGCCGGGATGGGGGAGGAACTTGACCTTGCCCCGGCAGTAAGGGAAGAAGTATATATATTCCATTGTCTGCAGCTCTGCCCTCTACTGGCAGCAGCAAGCACGGCGGTGCAGAGGACAGAAGACAAGAGACTCTCTGATCTGATCTTACCTGTTTCAGCTGATAGATGCCTCCCGTCTGTACGTCTTTAGCGGGGACAACTTCTACCGGTCCGTAATCTCCATTCTCATTCAGTTCCAATATCTGTACCCACAATTCTACCTTCCGGGTGACTTCACTCCACCTGAGAAGTAACATGGATAGAATCAGTGCTCCAATACCACCGCTTTTCATGTACAGGAGGATAAAACACACGCGCGCACATGCAGACGCTCAGCTTCATTCAGAGCGAACCGATCATAAATAGCCATTAATTAGGTGTCTCCAACTTCTCAGTCTAAGGTAATGTAGCCCAAGCATCAAAATAGACAATATAGCAGTGACGTGCTGTACCTCTGGTTCAAGGTGAGACATTCCCCAGCCTCGCCCCCAGCAGCCCCTCCCCCCCCCCGCCGAAAACAAGATTTGAAGCTGACAGCTTTTTCCTCCATTATTCTAGGTGAGGTTCTGCCTCCCCTGACCGCACATCCCTGCAATATAGCACCAACTTCGGCAGCTTTCTTGAATTAGTAACAAATTGGTAAAGTGGATTTGTACTTAAAAAATGAAGACTTGCTCCTCTTCTGGGAATATCTAAGAAAGTTAATTGTTCCTAAGCTGAAAGCCGATTTATCGTTGGTCTTTAATTCTATTATAAATAGCAGAGCACTTTGTGTGCCGATCACTTTTATGGGACTCTCAAGGTGCCATCAACACCCCACCGCCTCTGCGATTCCTGGGCTCTCTTGCTTCTCCTGGGAACCCAGGACCCTGATACACATTGGCAAGCAGGAGGACATCAGGGAACAACCGCTCTCCTCTACAGCGTTTGAACAGGGAAGCGCTCAGCTCTCCCAATTCAGGACCTTCATAAAAGTGGCTGCAAAGCCAGGTAGATGAACTGCTGATGAAGCACAGCCTGTGCTCGTTTAGCTGGAGCAGAGGGCAGGGGAGACATTACGGGTCTAATGTCTCCAGTAAGAGCACCTGTCACCTGCCCAATGCTATCACAGAGGAGACAGCAATACATTTAAAGTCAGAAAAAAAAAGAAGTTAAAAAACATAAATTAAAATAAATAAATGCCCTCGTCGCCCCACGCATACACGCAAATGCGCGTAGGGCACACACACATGTATGTGAACAATGACTGCACAACACATATAGGGTATTGATGCTCTCGCCAGGGTTAGAAGAATAATTCTAGATCCCCTAATTTACAGCTGTAAAGGTTTTTAATGCATCATTGGGTGATAATTACAGATTTTAAAAGGCTGAGTTTACCTCTAATGCCATGTTTTATTTACACCTATATTCAGAGTGTGAGAGGAAACATGGTCACATTGTAACCCCGCCTTCCCCATACCTCATTCCCCTCCCTTAGGCCCCATTCACACTAAGCGACATGTAAATCGCGCGACGACCGATATTGAGCGATGTATCGCGTAACTTTTTCCTATTGGGCTGTATGCAATCAGGAGCGAAATCGCTCGAAAAAAGGGTCATGTAGGAGCGACAAGCTACCAGCGATATTGAGCGGCGAGATGTGAACAGCTCCATTGAAATGGATTGGAGAAGCTACATAGAGCGATATCGCTGCAAAAATCGCTCGATAAATCGCTCAGTGTGAATGGGGCCTCAGCGGTAAATCGTAAATTTCCACCGCAATATCGTGCATTTTTGCCGCGCAATATCGCGAGAAGTCGCCGGCCAATGATATTCAATGGAGCTGCGCTAATGTACAGCTCCATGTCGCCCGTCATTCTCGCAGGACCCTTTCTCTCCGCGTATGTCGCGCAATTTTTCTATTTTTGAATGCGGCCCGACGATGAAGGTCGCTGGAACGTCGCCCGAACAGTCGCGCTATCCCGCCGCAAGGAAATCCGCTGGAAGCGAGTGTCGCTTAGTGTGAATGGGGCCTTACCTGAACTCTGGGGTTCTTCTCCCTGTAAGATCCTGACTTTTTTTTGAATGTGGCGTAGCTGTGCGTGACTCCGCCCACACAGCCACATCATCCATTCACAGATCCTTTGACAGGATCTGTGAATGGAGGAACTCCCGGGGGAGAGGGATTTGCAGTTCACAATAGAACAGTCCGTTCATTCTTCCTCCCGTCCATGTTACTGGATGTCTGCTGTACCTTGGTATGGACAAGGGTGGGAGAAGGAGTCTGCAGGAGCCAGAGCATTGTACCCACCATCTACTGATCGCGGCTGCAATGCTTTACTGGTTCCAATGCAAAAAAACATAATACAAATAATAATAATAATAAATAATAAATGTAATTTTTTTTCTTTTATAAAGAAATTTGCATTACTTTTTTTTATTCTTAAGTGGACTTTGTCTTCAACACGTGTTGCTCTGGAGGCGAGGCGTTTAATGGGAACGTGTGAATATCTGGCTGGCTGGTTTGTTTCCACTTCTCAATAATTGTGCTACACACTGTACTGCACCTCATGTATGGAAACCAGTTCAATGGAAGCTTTCCGGATACACCCCACAGGAAACATTAGAATTACGGCCGTCATTTTTCAAGTGCAAGTTAGAAAATAACGAACACAACGTGACTGGCTGTTATGGGCGAAGACGCGGGAGCTGGTCGATGTAATCGGGAACAAAGGATAAATAATCACAAGGGCGGCGTTGTCTAGGAGATCATGAAATCAGAGAATCGGTCAAATCTTTCACCCAATCCAGTCTCCAATGGCTGTATGCGCGTTCCAGGTCAGTGACTTACTATCGTGTTTCCCCGAAAGGAAGTCCTAGCACTATTTTTAAACATTCCTGTAATATAAGAACTACCCCGAAAATAAGACCTAGTTTGGGGGTGGGGGCAGCCACAAATAAGACCTAGTGTGTTTTTTTTTTGTGAAAAAAAATTAAATATAAAGACAGGGTCTTATTTTCGGGGAAACACGGTAGGTAGTGAAATGGGATCCTGACTCATAGTAGACAAAAGTGGCTCAGTGGTTAGCACTTCTGTCTTTCAGCACTAGGGTCCTGGTTCCAATGCCGGTCAGGATACTATCTGGACAGAGTTTGCATGTTCTCCCTGTGCCTGAATGGGTTTTCTTCTGGGCACTCCTGTTTCTTCCCACACTCCTAAGACATGCTGGTAGGTTAACTGGCTCCTGTCTGAGATTGGGTAACTGAGTGCACCCTCCTCGGCTTCTCGGCCTTTTGGCTAAGATCAAGTGTAGTATCTGTTCTTATCAGTTGTTGGAGGGGAGAGGATGTTGCCACCCGATGGGAGAACATTCTAGTACCCTCCGACGTAATGGTGGGTGCCGGAGGACGGTTCGGTCCACTGCTAGTTGCGTCAGGCCCTGATGATCGGGTAGACCCTAGACAGTGGGAGGACCCCCGACGGCACTACCTCCTGATGTGAGCGGAGAACCACGGGGTCTGGCCCGAGGGTTCGGTGGCGGCAGAAGCCCGTGGTGTTGTGCCCGCTGGGGGTGGCGTCCCAGGGGTGCTCAGGAAGTCACATGGGTATGGGACCCCACATGACTCACTGGCACTTGGTCACACACCACCTTGCAATTTTCTGCACTTCGCCTCCAAGACAGGCCTTATGGCTAGTCTGGGGCAATATTTTTGCACTCTGGCCCCTAAGGCCTGTCAGCGTGGTGCACTGGCACTTTAGATTTATTTAAGCACTCTATCCACTTTTGGCACTTCTTTATTTTAAATTTTGACCCACAGATGCTGAAGGTGCAGGTTTCTTCGGGGCCTATTCCTGACGCTGGGAGGAGATTCTGTGCCTCCTATGGGGTTCTCTGTCTCCTCCCACCCAGGAGGGGGGCTTCTCTTTGGGAGAGCCCCCTCCCTAGTACTGTGTGGGACCTGTTTCGGCAGGTCCCCAAAGGATCGGGGTCCACCGGCCTTCGGGTTGGTGGGCCAACAGTCTCAACCCCTGTCAGGAGCCTTGCGCCCCGGGGGGTCGGGAAAGTAGGTCCCTTCTTTGGACGTTTGTGTGTGCTGTGATTTCACGGTTCACTTTTTTTGTTCACAGGGGGGGAAGTTTGTTTTGATGCACGTCCACGGGCTTCGATAAAAAAAAAAAAAAACTGCGTGCACCCTCGATAGCTGCTTCCCCATATGCCCCTTACAGCAGATAAAAGCACTCTGAGTCCCCGGGGACAAAAGTGCAATACAAATATAAATGATTACTATGTCATAGGGAATATCTAGAAATTTGAATTGTGCCTAAGCAATGTCCTAATACTTTTATCTTGAATAGCAGTACACTTCCTGTGCCTAGGCACTCCTGCACTGTAGCCTCATAGCTGTCCATCTGCAGTGCGAGATCATCTGAGGCTGTCAGGATCCGAATCTGAACCCAGAGCTTCTGCTATATCTGGCAGTGGATCTTCCCGCTGAGCCACCTGGAACCTTGGAGCTCAGTTGCTCCTCTTTGCTCCGCCCCCGGACTTCCTATTTAACCAGTTGACATCCGCGGTGTTAAACCCCCTTCCCATCCAGGCCATTTTTAGCCTCTGCACTTCCCGTTTGCCAGATTATAGTGCTCCTGCTAATATCTTGCTTCCTGCTCCTTCTGCGATATGTCTTCCTCATACTGCTACCCGTGTGCCGGCCCTTGGCTACCGATTCACCAACTACACTTATCTCCTTCCACTTCAAACCTTGATACCTTTGGCTACTGACCTCAGCTTGATCTTTGATTACGCTTCTGCCTGCTCCTCCACTACTACCGACTGCTTGTGTACTGAAGCTGGACTGTTATACCACAAATCTGCCTGCTTTCTTAGCTACAGGACTCCGAGCCTGATCCCAGATCGTGACAAACTGCTGCCTCTGACCACTAGTCTCACCAGATTTAGATTGAGATTTAGGGATGTGCTAACGTGCTGTTTACTGTTCTCATTGCTGGAGGGAAAACTGTACCTGAGAACCTGCAGTGCAAAGATCTCCCTGCTTCTGCTGCATTCATTCTGTGGCTCCGAGCTTCCTTCACCTCTCCTGGTACTTCCTTATTATTACCCCACCAGTCATCAGGGGCGCAGCACTGACATGAGAACGAAAAGCTCTGCCTCTACTAAGATGGCCGCCTCCACAAAAAGACACAGTGCAGAACTATAGCAAGTCAGTAATAAGAAAATGATGAGCTGCAGGGAGACCACAGGCAATACTGCCGACTAATCCTTTGCCCTCTGCCTTCCCTTTTAGGGTACACCTCCCTCAGTATAGGTCTTCTTTAAAGAGAAGTCTCCCATAATTCTGGCTCTAGGATTCCTGAATCAATGCTAGAATACAAAGCTATGAGCAGACAGCACAGCAAGTCTCACCTGTCCCTCAGGCTGCGTGTTTTGGCCTGTATTATCCCCAGATCCCAGAGGGCAGGATTCTTGCGAGGGTCATTTTGCTTGTGTCCGTACACTTCAATGGCCAACGCCCCTTCAGCCAGATACTCCAAGAAATCCTCCGTGATGTTAATCGCAAACTCCTAATTGGAAAAACAAAAACCAGGTTAGAAAGAGCTGACAAAAGTGTATCTAAAGCCATACTGTTTTCTCTCACTTTGGAGAGGTTTCCTTACTTCCTATTGTGTCTCCAGAACAGGAAGTGAAGGAAGATCTTCCCTGCCTGACACTTAAAAAGGAGAACTATGGGGTTAGGGCTTTTCCCCATAGTTCTCCTAAGGGTCACGGGAGGACACAAACTAGCGTCCTCCCGTCACCCTAGGCTCAGTATATAGGGAGCTACAGCTCGCGGTATACTGAGACGCCGCAGCTGAAACGGATCCCGACAATTCTGTCTGGATCCACCCAGCTGTGTGAGTGACAGCTGGCTCTGCAGCCAGCTGTACCCGCCCCCTCCCTGGTCCGTTCCGCCAGTCAGCGCTGGAGGATCGGACAGGGGAGGGGGGAAATCCAGCCCTTCCCCTGTCACGGCTCTCTGCCGTGACAGGATCGAGAAGTGAGCGAGCGCCGGTATGTGTTCGCTCACTTCCCCATCTATTGAGCCGAACCTGTGACAGTCTCATTGTCACAGGTCGGCTAGAACTATGAGGAGGAGTGAAAACCACTCGCCTCATAGTTCTCCTTTAAAGAAAAAAACCCCACAACTTACATTTACAAGATTTTTCCTACTCTGCCCCCTCATTTCGTGTCACTGTTAAGGTTGCGACTGAGAAAAGAAGTGAAGGGGTAGATGTGCAACAAAAACCCAACTTGTTTGTAGAGTGCATAGGGTTTGTTTCCCAAATGTGCCCATCCAAAGACGTCTAGACAACAGGAAATAAGGGTACATTGCCCCAAGAGTGATTTTAGATTGTAAGCCCTCAGGGGCAGGGCCCTCCTTACCATCTCGTCTTAAATTGTATTGTGACTGTAATGTCTTCCTTATACTGTAAAGCGCTGTGCAAACTATTGGCGCTATACAAATCCTGTATAATAATAATAATAATAATAATAAGACAGCAATTAAGACTTTGTATCGATTATACGGTTCATCAACTAACCAAAGCTTCAAAGAAAGTCTTGGGCTGCAATCACAATGTAACATTTCTACAGTACATGTTACAATATTTAACATGAACACATGGAAGGGCAATAAACAGGGGAGCAGTTACTTTACATACATTGCAGTGATCGAAGACCACCATACACTGTGGCTCCTTGCCGACGGGGGAGGATGTACTTGGGTCCACCTCAGGGGCCACATTGATTGGCTCTGGCTGGCCATAGAAAGTATAGTGGCAGAACACAAAGTTGGTGAGATGCTGAGGCAAACCTGTGGCCTGAAGCACTTTAACCTGAAAGGAAAAAAAAAAAAAAAGTCATACATATAGCAGTTTAGGTATTTCCCGTAGTTGTTCATATTACAGCATACAAAGACATTGTAGACAATCATGCGCATCAATCCTCGTGGTAAAAGTTTGGTGAAGAGTCTTTTCTGTTGCACCATGACTGTCCCCTGTGTACAAAGCCAGCTCCATAAAGACATGGTGTGACCAGTGTGGTGGAGGAACTCGAGTGTCCTGCACTGAGCCCTGACCTCAACCCTAGACCAAATTTAAGAGCCAGGTCTTCTCATCCAATATGAATACCAGACCACACAAATGTTCTACTGGCTGAAACGATGGGGCTCAACTCCATATTAAAAAGGAGAACTACGGGGTCAGGGCTTTTCCCCATAGTTCTCCTTAGGGTAACTGGAGGACACAAACTAGCGTCCTCCCGTCACCCTAAGCTCAGTATACCGCGAGCTATAGCTATACTGAGACGCCGCAGCTGAAGCGGATCTCGGCAATTATGTCGGGATCCGCCCAGCTGCGTGAGTGACAGCTGGCTCTGCCTATCTAGAGGCATAGCCAGCTGTACCCGCCCCCTCCCCCGTCCGTTCCGCCAGTCAGCGCTGGAGGATCGGAGCGGGGAGGGGGGAATCCAGCCCCTTCCCTGTCATGGCAGAGAGCTGTGACAGGATCGAGAGGTGAGCGAGCGACGGTATGTGTTCGCTCACCTCCCAATCTACTGAGCCGACCTGTGACAGTCTCATTGTCACAGGTCGGCTAGAACTATGAGGTGAGAGAAAAGCCCCTCCCCCCTCATAGTTCACCTTTAATGGCCATGGTTTTGGAACTGGATGTCCAACAAGCCCATATAGGTGTATTGGTCAGGTGTCTACAAACCTTTAGCCAGTGTGTTGTCTGTAAATAAATATATGCACAAATATATCTAAACCAGCGGTTCTCAACCGGTGTAACCTCAGGACCCACATTTGTCTTCGGTCATTAAGTCACGACCCAAGTCACACTGCAATGGAACGCACAGCATTATGGTACCACACGTTCCAGTGCGGGCATACGAACTGTGGGTGGGAGGTGCACTTCTCAAAGTGATGCCATTGACACAAGCCCCAAAGCCCATCGGCATAGGCCCTGAATATTGGTGCTCCCATTCATTACCATTGTGAGGTCAAAGGCCACTGGTAACCTGCATTATAAATAATAGCCATGTTATGCTGTCTTGACATCACTACGTCACAGTGTTTTCTCCTGAAGGCCCAGTCTGCCATTTTGTGCCATATTAAGGGCCGTTTTTTGTTATGATGCAACACCAATGTTCAAATATTTTAGACTCTTTTTTTGGCCATTAGACTTCTGTATTTGGATTTCAAACTCTGGGCCCCATAGCAATTAAGAAACATGAAGCAGCTCTACCCCCTTGTCTCCAATCAGGCTGCTTGACCCTCAGTGCCTGGTTGTTAGGGTGACACCCCCTGGCAGGTGACACAGACGTCCCTGAGGGTCGGAGTCTAAGTACCAGCCGGTGTTCACCAGAGCTCCTGATGGTGGAGATGGGCTAGGCTGCTTGCTGGTACCAGGTCGCGATCCCCAGGGTTGCCCTGCCAAGGGATGGGCGAGAACAGGAGACAGTAGTCAGATCCAGGTAGAGTTCAAGGCAGGCCGCTAGCAGAGTGTGGTTGGACAGTCCAAGGTCAGCAACTAGCAATCAGAGGATAAACACAGGAGACAAGAGCAAAGTCAGGTCTAGGCAGAAGATCAGGGCGGGCAGCAAGCGAAGAAGGGTCAGAAGGTCTGTGTCAGCAACGAGAAACCTGCAGAAGTATGAGCTCTTTCACAAACAGGAAGCTGGCAAAAAGACACAGCACCAGCTCCTTGCAGAGTTAGTGCTTAAATACCCTTCTGAGTCAGAGAAGACGTGCCCAGCCTCGGGGTACACTGGAAGTCCTGGTCTGGAATCTTTTACCATTACTAGCTATACTGTCCTGGACCCTGTGAGATCCATAAGTAGCGGATCTCCTGGAAGTCCTGGTTGGGATTCTCAGAGGAGAACGGTAAACCCCGAGAGGTACTCTGAGCTTACCATAACACTGGTTAAGCTTCCACCGGAGCCTTCGCTGAGCAACAGGTAACAAACTGGGCTCCATATAAGTATGCAACATTATGGAATGCCCATAAGGCTTTGTTAGGGGGTTATTGATTAAAATAGGGGCCCGTAAGAAGATAAAACGCCAACGGGATTCATTAGTGACATCACTCATCTGAAATGCCCTCCTACCCCGCAGATGGCCCTCCTAGGGATTGGTATATTGGACTGGCCCACCTCCTTACGAGTACTCGTGACACACATACTCATAGCAGCTAGATTAGTTATAGCTGGGTTGTGGAAACAACAGGCCATCCCGACCATGTCAATAAGGATCGACACACTTAACACACATATGCATTTTGAATTTCTGTTTGCCAGAGCTCACCTCCGGGAACAGAAATTCAATACAGATTGGGGCTGCTGGTTGACTGACAAACGTTGTAGCTCTGGAATGGTGTAAAGGAATCTCCTACCTCAAGCGGGTCATGCTAGCACAGTTCTCCTGAGGCAAATGTGTCTTATACAGCATCCCCCTCTTCCCATATGTATATGATCTCTGCACCACTTAGCCTTTTTCAGATCCAATAATTTGCAGCTGTAGTCAGTTAATAGTATAAATACCGTATTTTGCGGTCCATAAGACGCACCGGACCATAGGACGCAGGGAGGTCCGGCGCGCCTTATGGAGCACTCGAGACTGTAGCTTCTGTGACAGCTTCTATGACAGAAGCTGTGACAGAAGCTGCATTTAGTGACTGCTGAGACAGGTGGCGCTGTGGTTACAGCGCCACGGTCTCAGTGATGACACAGAGCAGGCGAAGAACGTCTATTCTTCGTCTGCTCTATGGTTATCTCGATCGTCGCCGCTGCTCGGTTTTAATACGAGTGATCTCATTAGACGCAGGCACTTTTTCCCCCTCCTTTTGGGGGGGAAAAAAGTGCGTCTTATGGAGCGAAAAATACGGTAATACTTTCACATTGTATTGCCAAGATTGGTTATTACTTATGTTATCCCTTGTTCTCCCCTTTTCCCTTAGAGTGTTACACCTTCGCCCCCCCCCCC